TCCTAGTAGCGATGCCCGTGTTGCTAGTAGCTTCTTGTTCCTAGTAGTAAGGCCAGGAGCCGCTAGTAGCGTCCTTGCTCCTAGTAGTTTCTTTAATGAGAACCTACTGTGGCGCATTCTCTGAGTCTGCAGAGTCTGCGGCAGAGTACCAGGTTCTAGCATCCAGAGCAGAGCGACACCTGGAGGACGATTCCATTTTGTTTCCGGGAAGAGGAAGGCAGAACCCATGCGGTGCTGACGGAATCCAGTTCATGTGTTGTTTTCTACAAGCAATTGCTATTAGGTTAGAGGCCGTTGCTAGTAGGTTCTACCTGAGCAATCAAGTTCCCTCCTTGAGCTCGGGGTAGTCACCGGGTTGTCCCATGGGAATCACTTCACAAAATTCCAAGTCTTCCATCTCGTTGTGCAAGTGCCATGTGTAGTCTTTGTTCATCTCCTTTCGCTTCAGACTCCTTCTTCCTTCGCATCAAGTGAGGATGCCTTTTGCCGTGCTTGTGCCACTGCTGCGTCCACAAAGGCAGACTGCAGAGGGTCTCTGCATTTTGGTCAACGCCATATTGAGTGCAGAAGAGGAAGGAGAAAGAACGTGTCAGAAACAGTGTTGAGCTTTGTAGGATGACTTTTAAACACATCCAAACATCCACAGAAAGGAACCGAAAAGGGAACTGAAAAGGCATGAGTCGAGCCCTATTTCAGCGTTTGTTTTTTTGTAGACTTCTCCATGCACGAACCAGCTTACCCAGTCTTCAGCCTACCGTCTCGAACGACACATTGACATTCAAATCAACAAGAAAAGACAAAATGAAAAAAGAAAAGATCAAGGACAAGTTAGTTTCGAAAAGAAAAAAAGAAAAGACTGTGATGTGAGCGAAGATGTACACACAGTGTGCCATGTTTGGAAGTGGTGTGCATTGAGCAGCTTCCCGTTCGCCGCCGTGGCCTTCCTTTCTGATCCCATTTTCTTGTCTCAAGGCACTTTCCAGTGTGCGAGTGCGAAGCCGCAATGCTTGGGTCTGTTGGCCAAATCGCAGAAAGAGTGATTTTGTTTGTGTTTAAATAGATGGAACAAACTGGACACCAACCTGATAGAACTGAATACCTCACTTGCAAGCAGACATGAGGAAAGGAGCACCGCTCACGTTCGCCAAGGACTCTGAGGTTGCCCGACTTATTGAGACTTTGCAAGAGGCCAGGCCAAGCAGGTTTGCAGATGTTTGCAGGGTCGACACGGGAAGCTTTGCAAGGGAAAGATCGCACTCAGTTTTCAATTGCAAGGTCGAAGACATCAGTGCACAGCTGCTGGAGCATCAAAGAGATGCCAAAGAGGTGGGTAGCCAATGTGTGCAACCTGTGGTGGAATTTGTTTTTGCCTCCTTGCGCATAAACGACAGGTGGCTGTGCTTCGACATTCAGTGTGGAGCTCAGCGGAGCTCCAGATCCAGTTTAGTCAAGTGGCAACGTGGCGCTGGCCAGGTGAGTTCGGAGCTCCATGCGGGCTTTTTGCCTTTGAAGCGAGAACCCCGCGAGGATGGGGAGAGACTGTGTGTGTGTGGGGGGGGATTCTTTATTGATCATATTCACTTTACTCTTTAGCACTCTGACTTGATTTGGTGAGGCACTATCCTCTGAGCTGGAAGGTCATGCAAGCAAACTTTGGCGGGATAAAGCACCGCTTGACTTGATGACTTGAGCGGCTTGTCCACACAATCCACACACACACATACTTGCAAGGTTTGAGTAGTTGCATTTTGTCTTTTGTAATTTCCGCCGCCTCAAGCTAGAACAGCCTCCATCAGAACAAGGAAAACATATGTTAGGCCCAGGCCGCCCAATTGGTAGAATGCAAGCCAAGAACATGTATTTTATTCTGTCGCTTTGGTTGGACAGTAGTTCGTTGTGGAGCGGAGTTCCTTGTGTTGCCCTCATGCTGAGAAGAGGCCTTTAAGCTTGCCCGTGGGTTGGGGATTCTGAAGCCTCTTGAATACAATTTTCGATGTTTATTGAATTCCTTTACAGAATTACTTTATTGCGGTTACTACTCTTTCTTTCTTCCGACCTTAATACCTTGTATTATTCTATTTAGATTTACGTCGCCATTTCGATCATATTAAGAACCTGAGCTCGCCGGTGTCTTTGCTTCGACTTATCAGTTTCTTGGAAAACTTCATTTTGAGGGTATCCTTGCATTTTGTGGCATAGTATGTTTGGCATGATTGGGAGCAGGCATCCCTGCTTCCTAAATCGATGAGTTCTTGAACAAAGTCATGATTACATTTCTTATCACGTGGTGTTGCGAACAGCAAGAAGCTACTAGTAACAAGGGAAACAATGCGATCCGCTTTGGCCGCTCAGATGATGAAAGTGTAGACCAGCACGCCCGGAAGCCTCAGGAAGGACCTTGGCAACTTGGGGTCTAGCGATGACCTCCAACCTACTAGCGATGGCCTCCCTTAGACGGTCTTAGAAGCCCCAAAAAGAGAATCCAATCGAACACAGCGAGCACAGCCGGTTTTGCTGCAGAAGACGACACCCAGTCTACTGGGTGAATAGTCGCTAAATATCCTTTAACATTCAACGGCTCGAGAACAATGAAACTATCCTTTCTCGACTTCTTGAGTGGGCCTCAGTCAAGTTCAAGAAAGGCCTGAGTAGGGAGAAGAAACGGGGGTAGTTCAACTGTTCCACAGAATACACTGGCCTAGAGCTGAACCAGACCAGAAACTCATTGAGCCCTGAGTCAAACAGTCCAGAACACTTTAGGTTTGTGATGGGGACTTTGTTGGACGTTTTGTTTGAACTCCCCGCAGCCACAAGTCCGGCATTTTGCTTTGCTTAGGCCCAGATGTTGGACTATCAAGCTGCCCTCAGTCAATGGCCTGGAGACAAATTGAGCAAACAAAGCTTTGCTCATCTCTTACCCATTTGCGCTGCTAAAATACTTTGAAGGAGGGTGAAAGCCTTTGGAACTGCGTGAGAGGTTACCAAGCTGCACAAGCTCAAGCTCAAGCAGCCTATGCTTACTCAAGGCCAATTCAGATCTCCCCAGGTGGTGGGCGCCTTGAGAGTTAAGTTTCCAGCAAAAAACATGTCTTTCATTGCGGCGATCTGTAGACTCTAGACGTTTTCATTCTACATTTGATTCATTTCTTTTTTTGCTGCCACGATTCATACTGCGCTTCGGCATCGAATTGACACTGTCTAGGTCTGGCCATCTTGGATTTGCTCCTGGCAAAGTGGAGACCAGCAGTAGATCAGCAGGTCCAGATCAAGTATTGAGATGGATTGGTTTCAAGATGCTTCTATTTCATTGCCTATGTTTTTTTCCTATCAGAACATATTTTTTTTGTTCATGGCTTCTTGATTTATCAGCATGTTTTTCTTTCAAGGCCTGGACCACCTTGATGTCTTTGGATTCACAAGCTGTGGAAATTTTGCAGGACCAAAAGAGTTCACACGCTCTGGACTATCTCTGGACTATCCGTACTGATTTTGCTTCCCTCAGGAGCTTGACTTGAAGAACGAATCTATCAACAACCCATCTGCGTATGTTCAGCGTGCAGTGAGCAACATCAAGGCAATGACAGCTGCCGCGTTCACAATCCAAAGCACCACGTTCTTCTGAGTTTTGCAAGCGACCGCTGATAGGCTGGCCATCCCCATGGCAGAGATCCAAATGCAGGCACTAAGTAGCGCTTCTTGCTACTAGTAACAAGGTGCATCGCTACTAGTAGTAGCAAGGATGCTACTAGTAGCATAGTCTGGCACCAGCTCGGAATCATCAAGCGGTCTGAGAGCAACGAATGTGCATCTCCGTGTGAGGCATGGCAGCAGCGGCCGGCGCTCAAACTCAGCACTACATGGTGGCCCCAGGTCCGAAAAGCCTAGTAGCTAAACCCATAGCAAGTGGACTCACACTAGACACTCAAGAGCTGCAACAGAGCTGGACACAGCTTTCCCATTTTCTACAGGCATCATCTTGGATGAGAAGGCCACACTGGCCTTGCAAGCTGCTTCACCCGAGGCACGTAGCGTGATGAGAATCGGACTTTGGGATTCGCTCTTCCTAAAGCAGCCTTAGATCAGGAAGCCTTCAAATGGAAGAAAGAACGACTAAGATGACTAAGGTCCTAAGAAGCAGACAAAGAGAAATGAAGCAAGAAAATAGGTAAGAATCAACTTGAAGAAGGCAAATTGGCAAGAAGACAAAGGTAGTAAGTAGTAGCAGTCACTTGTGTTAACACTAGATTGCTTTTTTTGTGTTCGGACTGATAGCATCGGAAAGTAGCACACACTCAAGGCCAAGCCAGCATACCTTCTACCATAGCAAGACACATTTTGCGCCTCCCTAGTTTCTTCGTTTGTTGGCCGGAACAGTTTCTTTTTTTCAATTTTTCTTCTAACCTTTAGACTTTAGACCTCTTTTACCTTTTTTGTTTAAAGGATTTTTGCTTTCCTTTCTTTTCTTTGTGGTGACTTGTCTTACACTATTTTGATGATTCAAAGCCATGTTTGGTTTTCTTGTGGAAGATTGGCCTCTAGTTTGGCAAAGCTCAGATTTCCATGATTTTTACCCGTGCAAGTTTGCGCATTTTGACACCTGACGCAGATTGCACAGCAAGTTATTGCCGAGCTCCAGACGAAGGGTCCAGAGGCCGAAAAGCACAGACCTCCCAAAATCACAAGTGCTTCTTGCCAAAAAGAAGCCCTCCCAACTTCCTTGCTAGTATGTCTTTGAAGCTTTCTAGTAACTAGAAGCTATTAGGTTGGAGGCCATCGCTACTAGTAACAATAAAGCGTGTTCTTATCGTTTTAAAGTAGTGTTAGTGTCCAAGACCAACGGCCCAAGAGAAGCAGCAAGAGGAAAGAGTTTTCCTTCAGAATGTTACTCGGGCCCCTTTAATAATGAGGATCACCTTTAAACCAAGTCCTCCACACGTCTTTTGAACCTTTGTCTTCCTGTTTGGATGTCAAATGGCATTTTTGAAGTGAAGAGAACACGTTTTGGCCTTGCTACCTGAAGCGTTCGGTTTGCTTCAGAGCAAAGACCAACATTCACTGAACAAAATTGCGGAAAGCCTCAGCTTTCATGGAAGTTTTCTCTTTCAGTACGAATTCTTCCCTCGCTTTACCGAGCGCTTTCCGCTTTTCGCCTCCGCTTCTCGTTTTTCTCTTTCACGTCTTTACCCGTTTTGTCTTTTGCTTTCTTTTTTTCTTTGCGAACATTATCTCGCGATGACCTTTGCGTTCCTTTGGGATTCAGGTCAGGAACCCATCTGCGTATGTGCAGCGCGCTCTGTCCAATGCAAGGGGCAAGGTGGGAAGACAAGTCAAAAAAGCATCTGGGGTTCAAACCAATGGAGCCAGTCTTTGCTCGCAGAAGTAAGCTGTGAACATGTTTCAGATTATGATTGTAAGAGGGAGAGGCTTTTGACTGCGCTTCTCGCAGGTTGGAGGATTCAGCAGCGGCGGCGGAGGGAGCATTCAGGCGCTTTTCTTAAGCAAGAAGCTTTGGAGCTTTGAAGGAAATCTGAAAAAAGAGGCTCAGTTCTTACTACCCCCAGCCTTGAGGACTTCTGTCCCTTAGAAACAAGAGTCGAAGAAAAAGTACATGTTAGACAGATTTATCATCTTCATGTTCAAAGTGTTTTGTCAAAATGCATGGCGTGTGAGGCAGGAGAAGATGTCACCGCACGTTTGGATGAAGATGCCCGTCGTGCCTTGCAAGACCTCAGTCCGGAGGCGCGCCGAGGGCGGGCCGGGTGCCAAAGGGTGCCTGGGTCGGCTGGGCACATGGCGTGGTAGTGTCCATGCGTTTGTCAAGTGTTATATGCAGATGTGTCTTCACAAAACGTTTTGGTTCGCTTCATTTCCCAATTCAGAACTAGGAACAAGAAGCTACTAGGAGCAAAGGGCATCGTTACTAGGAGCAAGGACGCTACTAGGGGCTCCTGGCCTTACTACTAGGGCGCCTTACTACTAGGGCAAAGACGCTACGAACGGAGCTTTTTCGCGCTTTCATCAAGTTGAACACTCGTGCCATTTGAGGCCCCGCTGACTTCTTTTTAAGTTGTCGCTTGTCACTTGTCTCCCAATTGGTTTTGGTTCCTGGTCCTTGTCTCAACCTGCCAGCTTTCTATCTTTCTGCCTTAGTTGCAATAGTTGCCTCCTTTCTCGTGTTGGATCTTTTTACCAGGTCTTCTCCATTGTTGGGTTTGAGGCTGCTTCAATCACATGCTTTGCATGCCGAGTGTGCACGTAGACCATTGAAGTTATTTGATACTTTCGGATTTGTTCGACTTCTGCTAGCACCTTTCGCAGCTGTGAGAAGAACTTAATCCCACAAAACTTTTGGTGGACCAACTTTGAAGCCTTGATATCGACTTTCTTTGTGAGCAACTGTAATGAGAGTGTAGATTCTCAAGAAGCTCACTCCTTCATTGGTTGAATGAGCTATATGTTTCGAGGCAAGCCAGAGGATTTTGCAACAGCTGGGCGAGGCTGGAGACAAGGTGCCCAAGTGATTCGCTTTCCAGTTGAGTCACTTTGTCGGTGAAACCAGAGACACACATGTTGATGTATGTGTGTATATATAATATATATATATATTACAGCCGGTAAACAATGGTCACTATTGTAGAGAAACGCCTTTTGGCAACCACCATCATCATCCACTGTTACTGCAAATTGATATACCCAAATTAGATACATGTAAGGCTTTTTGTGTATATAGCTGCGCCTTGTTACAGTTGAGGCCAAGATGTAATGCCTTTGCATAGCATCCTTCTTAGACACATAAATTCCATAAACTTCAGTCACGGTCGCGTGGATTCAAGTTCGAAGGTTAACAATCCATCGGCTTATGTGATGAAGGCGTGGCTTTGACGTGAAATGTGTAATGAAGAAAGCCTAGTGAACTTCTGTTTGAGGGTGGTCGAGTATGGCTTTCAGAACAGAGTTGTAAGATATAACAGACTAATGTATTTATTGCCTACTAGTAACAAAGGGCATCGCTACTAGTAACAAGGGCCTTACTACTAGAAACAAGAAGCTAGTAGAAACAATAACAGACTAGGAACAAGTGCATCGCTAGTAGTAACAAGTGTCTTACTAGTAGTAACAAGAAGCTATTAGAAACAAGAAACTACTAGGAACAAGTGCTTACTAGTGTATTTATTGCATTGGATCTTTAGACCTTTCTTTCCGTCAGACTCTTCCTTTTACGCTACGAACGGAGCAAAGGGCATCGCTACTAGGGCATCAGACTCTGAAAAGAAAAGACAGCAGATTTATTCTTTGAGCTTCACTCTTTGCGCTTCAGCTGGCCAGGCGGTCCGAAATCATCAAACTGAGCCAGGCACGACGCGTCAAGGACCAGAGAGAAATCCTCAAAGGAGTTTAATGGTTTGTCTTTCCTCCGAGTTCATGTGTTCCCTTTATGCTGAATCAATGTCTCTTAATTTCTCATGCAATTTAATCTCCTGGTGAACAGTGTTTCTTTTCACTAAACATTACTTTGTCTATTTGCTTCTTTTCCATTTCCTCACTTTTCTTGCTAGTAGGGTGGAGGCCATTGCTCTTTGGTCGGGGGCCATCCCTCATAGGTTGGAGGCCATCGCTATTAGGTTGGAGGCCATTCCTATTGGGTTGGAGGCCATTCCTATTGGGTTGGAGGCCATTCCTATTAGGTTCGAGGCCATCGCTGTTGGATTTGAGGCCATCGCTACTGGGTTGGAGGCCATCGCTAGAAGGTTGGAGGCCATTCCTATTAGGTGAGGCCTTTCCTATTAGGTTGGAGGCCATGGCTATTAGGTTGGAGGCCATCGCTACTAGGTTGGAGGCCATCGGTAGTGGAGGTCATTCCTATTAGGTTTGAGGCCTTTTCTACTAGGTTGGAGGCCATTCCTGTTAGGTTGGAGGCAATTTCGATTAGGTTGGAGGCCATTCCTATAGGTAGGAGGCCATCGCTACTATGGGGAGGCCATCCCTATTGGTTGCTTGGTTGCTGTTTGACTTGCTCTTATTGTTACTAGTAGTAAGGCACTTGTTTCTAATAGCTTTTTGTTACTACTAGTAAGGCACCTGTTACTACTAGCGTGGCACCTGTTACTACTAGCGTGGCACTTGTTACTGTCGTTTCTTGAGGCCTTGGAGGAGGTGGCGGGCTGGACCGAAGCCATGTCACACAGGGTGTTACGACGGATTGGAAGAGACTTCTGTATAGGTCTCGAACATAGAGAAAGAGGTGTTTTCATTTTTTGGAGAGACTCCTTCAAAAAGGAGTCCTATTTATATATTTTTTAAGGGGCTCATTCTGCATTCTCTTTTTCTTTTCTTAAGACCACCAAAGACATCGCGTATGCAGGACAGCGGCAGAATGAAGTGACCTCCTTGGTGAAGCAACAGTGAAGTGAAGTGGTTAAGCTGTTTGCATTTGTGCAGTACGGTAGCCCTGAAGCAATGACGTATCCATTATTCAAATGTTTGAGCCTGCATCAGTGCTACTGCTTTGCCACTGTGTGGCGGACACGTGCCTCCTTATACTTTTTGCATTTTTTCGCCGCCCCAATGGCTGCCTACAAATGTGCCACTGCTGAGCGCTACTACCCTTCCTAAGTGAGCGAATAAGATCAAACACTTACCACTGCAGTCAATGTCTGCTGCATCCCAAAGCAGCAACCTCCTCTCCGCCAATGTGCCTGGGTTGTGTTTATGACGCTGACTATTGCACTCTAGGCCATTGAAATTATTCTTATTATATAAAGAGGCCCTTACCTTCTTATTTTGAGTAGGTTGGAGGCCATCGCTATTAGGTTGGAGGCCATTGCTACTAGGTTGGAAGCCATTGCTATTAGGTTGGAGGCCATCGCTATTTGGTTGGAGGCCATTGCTATTCGGTTTGAGGCCATCGCTGTTAGGTTGGAGGCCATCCCTATAGCAGGTTGGAGGCCATTGCTATTAGGTTGGAGGCCATTGCCATTAGGTTGGAAGCCATTGCTATTAGGTTGGAGGCCATCCCAGCAGGTTGGAGGCCATCCCTATGGCAGGTTGGAGGCCATCCCTATAGCAGGTTGGAGGCCATCCCTATAGCAGGTTGGAGGCCATCCCTATAGCAGGTTGGAGGCCATCCCTGTAGCAGGTTGGAGGCCATCGCTATCAGGTCGGAGGCCGAGGCCATTGCTATTAGGTTGGAGGCCATTGCTATTGGGTTGGAGGCCATCCCTGTAGCAGGTTGGAGGCCATCGCTATTAGGTTGGAGGCCATCCCTATAGCAGGTTGGAGGCCATCGCTATTAGGTTGGAGGCCATCCTGTAGCAGGTTGGAGGCCATCGTTATGCCATTCCTATAGCAGGTTGGAGGCCATTGCTATTAGGTTGGAGGCCATTGCTATTAGGTTGGAGGTTATCGCTATTAGGTTGGAGGCCACGCCTATAGCAGGTTGGAGGCCATTGCTATTAGGTTGGAGGCCATTGCTATTAGGTTTGAGGCCATCGCTGTTAGGTTGGAGGCCATCCCTATAGAAGGTTGGAGGCCATTGCTATTAGGTTGGAGGCCATTGCCATTAGGTTGGAGGCCATTGCTATTAGGTTGGAGGCCATCACTATTAGGTTGGAGGCCATTGCTATTAGGTTGGAGGCCATGGCTATTAGGTTGGTTAGGTTGGAGGCCATTGCTATCAGGTTGGAGGCCATTGCTATTAGGTTGAAGGCCATCGCTATTAGGTTGGAGGCCATTGCTATTAGGTCGGAGGCCATCGCTATCAGGTTGGAGGCCATTGCTATTAGGTTGGAGGCCATTGCTATCAGGTTGGAGGCCATTGCTATTAGGTCGGAGGCCATCGCTATTAGGTTGGAGGCCATTGCTATTAGGTCGGAGGCCATCGCTATTAGGTCGGAGGCCATTGCTATAAGGTTGGAGGCCATTGCTATTAGGTAGAGGTCATCGCTATTAGGTTGGAGGCCATTGCTATTAGGTTGGAGGCCATGGCTATTAGGTTGGAGGCCATTGCTATTAGGTTGGAGGCCATTGCTATTAGGTTGGAGGCCATTGCTATTAGGTTGGAGGCCATGGCTATTAGGTTGGAGGCCATTGCCATTAGGTTGGAGGCCATTGCTATCAGGTTGGAGGCCATTGCTATTAGGTCGGAGGCCATCGCTATTAGGTTGGAGGCCATTGCCATTAGGTTGGAGGCCATTGCTATCAGGTTGGAGGCCATTGCTATTAGGTCGGAGGCCATCGCTATTAGGTTGGAGGCCATCGCTATAAGGTTGGAGGCCATTGCTATTAGGTCGGAGGCCATTGCTATTAGGTCGGAGGCCATCGCTATTAGGTTGGAGGCCATTGCCATTAGGTTGGAGGCCATTGCTATTAGGTTGGAGGCCATTGCTATTAGGTTGGAAGCCATTGCTATTGGGATGTTGTAAGGTGTAAACATGTTTTCCTGAGAGAGCTTTCAAGCCTAAAGAGTTGAGCTGAGCGCTGTGTCCGCTAAGTGGGGCTGTCACGGAAGTGGAGCTCGAGGAGGCGACCTGCAACATTGTGCTTTGTCATTTTTGTGTTTTGCAACATGTGGTGTCTTGCGAGATGTGTGCCTTTTTCCAGGAAATCAGATCCTTTTCCACAGCTCTGGATGACAAGGTGTGACCACATCTGTTGGATGTATCTTCAATGCATTCACACACCTGCAGCGAAATTGCGCAATGCAATGGTTTTGGGGCTTGCAATCCGGTGCTTGTATTTCAGGCCAGGACTGCTTTGAAAGAGCTCCCCGCCTCTTCTGCAGTTCATATTCTTCGTTTGCATACTCAGCTGAGAGCAATGATACCTCTTCTTGTTTCTTCAGCACTGTTGTGCCCTTACATTTGTATTTCACGCTTGTTTCTTCATGCTCAAGAGCACAAGAGATTTCCCTTTTTCGATTGCCCCTTCGGCCGTTTCTGAGGCAACTTGAGGAGGCAAGCTGGCCAGGCGGCTCATGAAAAAATGACGGCAGACATGAAGAAGCAGTAAGCAATTTGCGCAATACAAGCAATGTAAGTTATTTCGCTGTTGCCGTGTCACGTACAACCCTGGTTCATTGACCAAGCCAATGCAAGTAAAAAGCCAAGACTCAGCCAGCAGCAAATTTGCTGAGTCAGAACCACTGCATCAAGATGATGTGCTTTGCATAGGCTTAACGCTATCCGAGTTCAATTCATGCTGACACTGGTATGATATGCTTGGTTTCCTACTGCTTACCGACCCAGATTACTTTACTTCGACTGTTTGGGTTTCCTACTTGATTTCTGACAACGACAAGACCTAGGATGCTGTATGTTGCTGTAGCATGATATGTTTGAATCCAGCTGAATCAAATATTTTGAGCCTCACTGCTCGGAGGTGACGAATGCAAGTGCTTGGGTGTGCAAGGCTGGGAGACAAAAGACACATAGCTATGTTCCTTTCCTTTCTTTCTTCCTTTCCTTCTTCCTTTCTACTAGAGGCAAGAAAACATTTTCTTTTTTAATGCTTAGATGATCTTGGATTGGATTGCTTTTTCAAAGCTTTGTACCTTAATTCTTTTCATCTCTTTATAATGCTGAGAGTGCTGGCGAGCCCGTTTCAGGCCGTGGGAAATATGAAGCGGGGTCCACCAACGACATCAGCATCCGCACTAGCATTGGAGCCTGCCACTCAGAGGATCCGACGGGTCCGAAGCAATTGTTTTGTAAAAGAATGCTTCTAAAAGCGATGGCCTCCAACCTGCTATAGGGATGGCCTCCAACCTAGTAGCGATGGCCTCCAACCTAGAAGCGATGGCCTTTAACCTAGTAGCGATGGCCTGCAATGGCCTCCAACCTACTAGCAATGGCCTGCAATCTAGTAGCGATGGCCTCCAACCTAATAGCGATGGCCTCCAACCTGCTATAGGGATGGCCTCCAACCTAGTAGCCTAGCAGCGATGGCCTCCAACCTAATTGTGATGTGCTCCAACCTGCTATAGGGATGGCCTCCAACCTAGTAGCGATAACCGAATATCGATGGCGTCTATCCCAGTAGCCTAATAGCGATGGCCTCCAACCTAATTAATTAGAAGCGAAGGCCTCCAACCTAGCTCCAATAAAAGTTTCCTGGCAATTCATTCAGGGGCTTTGCCCAATCTAAGGTCAGCGAAGCGTATGCGGCTTTGAGGTTAGCAAGCTACTCTTTAGCGATGTAGCGCTTTGGCAACCGTTGCCTCAGATGGCCAGGAGGTACGTACTCTTTGATTCTACAAAAAAACAAAGCCAGAAGGAAAGCGATTGAACATCACCAGGATTCAATGAGTTTGCTTGGAAAGGGTTTCGAGTGATTCGGGTCGTTTCTCGTTTCACTGTATGTTTGAGAGGGTTCTTATGAGCAAGAAAGCAAAAGAAGCGATGCGACGATGGAGTCTTTGCAACAGTTGAGGACTCATTCATAGCTTTCCACTAGGCACTTGTGCGAATTGTCCTTGGCTTCAAAGGTGGCTTAGACCATTCTTTTGAATGGTGGCGAGTGCCTTGGATCAGTATGAATACAATTGTTAGCATGCTGCCTGCACCCCCAAAAAATCCATTTATGCATGAGTTGTAAGTTCTGCTACGCACTACGCACTTCATCCATTTTCTGCCATGCCTCCTTTTCGCCTTGGCCTCATTGCAGACATTCAGTGCCCCTCACAGTTGGCTATGTGGATAATTCACAGATCTTGCCCTTCCAACGCACATGGAAAAGGGAGCTTTTTCAAGCACTTGTTCGACTGCCTTTCTGGTATCTATTCAACAGCCTTTCAAGGCTTGTTTCCGTTGCTCAGTTAAATGCTTGTGTTCTGAAGCGCTTTCGATGCAAGCGTGTGTTCGAGTTGGGAGGTACGCCGATTGTGAGGATGGCACGGACTTTTCCGGCTCTGAGCGGCGTTACTTTCGGAATTCCTTGAAGATCACTGAGCGGGCTGTGGACTGCTGGAATGCTAACGCCTTAGTCAAGACCGCCCAGCACATATGTGCAAAGATAGACGGAAGATAAAGCAGCAATTAGCTGGAAACAACCTTCGCCTCTTAAAGCTGGAGACCAACAGCGAAATTCAGCAAGACTGAAAGCCGTCAAAGATTGTGCATACTGGCTCCTTGCTCGAGGCGGTTGGCGTCGATGCAGTAAGCTTCCCAGTGTGCTTGCCGTTGATTCAGATTGCCATTTTGACAGATTTGCAGGTTGTTCAGCTGGGTGACATCATTGATGGGTGCAACTCAAAACTGCAAGCAAGCGAGACGGCCCTAAAGAGGGTTCTGGAAGTGCTTTCAAGGAGCTGAAAGTCTCCAGGTTTCGTTGGTGTGCAGAGTACACTTGTTGCCGTGGTTTGACACACGCACAGAAAAGTATCTAAATATCTATATAAATAAAGATAATATAACACACCCTGTCAGTGTGCCACCGTGGCAACACATGTAGTTCAGCGAGCGAGTGGTGTGACGACCCTAGCGTCAGCCTAGCGTCAGCCTAGCGTCAGCCTAGCATCAGGAGTCCTGCACCCCGCTTCGACTTGGTGGGAAACCACGAACTTTACAATTTGCCTCGAGACGCACTCGAACGTTGTGGCCTCCGCTGCGGTGAAGGACGTGCGAAGCTATGTCTTTGTGGGCAAATCAGCTTGCCGTGATTCAGAGTATTCATTGTGTTTCCGGAGCTCTTGCTGCCACTAGAGTTAGTAGTTGTTCATTTTTGTCTATCAATATCTCTCAATGGGATCAGTACCTTTTATGTACCGCAGTTTTCTTAAATCTCAAACAACTATCACACACATCTCCATTTCATCAACCACACAATTGACCATTCTGCTAGTGATAGCAATGGCAGCGTCAGGACGGAGCTACTATGCTGCAACTTGGACGGGTGGAACTCTGTGGCGTGCTAGTGATTATGGGATGTCCACTTCGCAAGCTACCAGTTTCAATCGGGTACCTGATATTTGAGAGAGAGAGAGAGAGCACACATCATACATATCAAAGACACGTGTTGAAGAGGCGTGAGCCCTACCAAACGAATTGGATCGCTGAAGTGAGGCTCACTTGGGTGACTTCTGGGAGGGAATCTTCTTGGACCCCTTCGAAGTGGCGTTTCTTGGCCTCCCTCAGATTTGCCAGTTTCATTGAGAAGCCCGGAGCAACATGCAACATGTAGCAACAACAGCCAAAGACACGCAGATTGGACTATAAGGCTGATCGGAGTGCCACAAGATTCTCCTCAGTTTGTGGAAGCAACAGAGACGATCAGAACTCACAATCCGTGTGGATCTTGGGAAGACACTGATCATGTGGATATAAAGGCGTAGCTTAGATAGACATGTTTGAGAAAAGAATGTTGAAGACTGAATTCCTTTGAGGCAGGTGCTAACAGGGGCAAGAGATTGGTTTACTGGCCTCCCAACGGAGAAGCACCGATTTGTGCCTTATAATGGCTTCCTGGCTGCGAAGTAGACGCGCGTGGTTTCCAAGTTCCGCAGTAGCTAAAGGAAACAAAACTGGATTCGAATGCAACGCTGAAACCTTCTCCAGGTCGTCGAGGTCTTTCAAATCTCATGGATTGGATATTGTGACATATTGTGACCCTTAGGAAGTGGGGTAGGAGGATTTGCTTTTAGAGAGTATTTTCACGCGTCCAATTTTTCCTTGCTTCTTTAAAATCCCGGCCTCAGGTGGAATTTCTCAAACCCAGCTGAAGTGGTTGGAATCCGCCGGAACCTCGGGCGCAACGAGACTTGCTGTGCTGAACTCTTTCTGTAACAGGCCGTACAAGCAGCAGAGGCCTGATCGATCGTACCGGCAGTCTGACTATTTGTGATAGAGTTTTGCTTAAAACAAAAAGGATAATCATGACAATTTTGTTAAAGGTGATTGCATATGGGGAAGGATACCTTAAAGCAGAAAGGAGAACTCGGGAAAAGAAGCCAAACAAATTTGTGGCTTGAACTGGTTAAAACAAAAGTAGCTGAAACAGAAAGCTGAAGACTATTAAGAAGACCTCACTGTTCGAGGCTGACTCGCGGAAGGTGCTGATTTTCCTTCACGTGCCGCTTTACGAGCCGGCCACCAAAGCCAAGACAGTGGTGTGGAACGCTGAGGTCAGTGGCTGAAAAAGACATTTCTGGTGAGTAAGTCGAGAATGTTTGTTGTATAATAGGTTCTTTCCAGTGTGTTAGCCTGTGAGGGTTGGAGGCTAACTGTGAAGAAATGCTACTACATACAAGGACGAAGAAGTTGAAGAGAGTTGATAGTCCTTTTGATTGCTTTGCTTGTCCGTCTACCGTCCTTTCAAAGAAATAGCCTGCAGTGGATGTGAAAGCTTTTCCTGTGCTCTTCATTTCAATCTGTGTGCATCAGCTCTAGCTGTCTTGGTCAGTAGCAGCTGAGACGTGAATCCTTCTTCTAGCTCCTCTTTATGAAAAGCTCAATCAGACGACCCACATAGCTGGCTTAGGGGACTTTCAACGATTCCTCAGCCCCTTCAGCTTGGATTCAGCCCTGACACAGGAGATTCTGCACATTCTTCATACCCATCGTGACACCGTTGTCGCCGTCTTCGCTGGCCATGACCATGATGGAGGAGTCGCTGACAATATAATCGATTTGACACTTCTGAATCTTTCAGTCTCGTTTGTTCTGAACCTGGCTTCACATTCCTTTTGGACTGCTGGTGCTATATAGAGACTTCTTTCTCCTACCCCTTCTCCGGAGAAAGGGCTTGCTCAAAAATCAGCCCATTTGCAGGCTATGCAGTGGACGAAGCAGGATGGGATTACATTGTATTCAGAATTGGTGACTGACCTTTCTGGAAGATTGTGACAGAATGGATGTAATTCACAGAGAGGATTCTGAAGACATCCTTGTTTTGAATGTATATTTTGTTTGTTGTATTTTTAATATTTTTGTTGCAGTTCTTTTCAACCGGCAATATTGACGCGTGATTTCGTCGCAGCTCTGCCCACAAACTCCAGGACTTCATCACATCACCATGAACTCTCCCTTGACCGCTGAGGGTGATTGCTTTGCGGTCTTGGAGTGCTACGAGGGCTGGGCCCACTTCAAAGCTCATGGACGCGCCTGTGTGTGGACCTCGGTTCAGAACCGTTGAACAGACAAAAGATTGAACAGTGAAGAGGCTGAACAATGACTTTCGATAGAAGCAAAAGGAATATATAAGAACAATGACAATGGGAAGACAAAAAAAATGAAGGGATAAAGTGAAGCTACGTCTAAGGTGTGGGGCTTACTTGCTTCTGACCACTGAACCGTCAGGTTGAAAGCAACACACTGGGCAGCGGACGAGCATACCCTGAACTTATCTTGGCAAAAGGCTGGATTTGCCTCTTAGTTTGAGCAGCTCTATGCCACGCTTGCTCTCTCCAACTTGGCCTTGCGACTTTGTTGGCCTTTTTCATTACGCGTTGCAAGGGAAAGGAAAATGGCATCGCTATCAGTAGCAAGGACGCTATCAGGAGCTCCTGGCCTTACTACTAGGAGCAACAAGCTACTGGGAACAAAGCTATAAAGCTTGCTTTCCGGTTCCAAGTTTGGTCGTCACCAACGCGGGGTTCCCCGTGCGTTCCCCGTGGGTTCCCCGTGGGTTCCTTGGCAGATGCTGTGAACTCCACCAGCCCTTTGAGTGCCTCCAGCGAGGCACACAAGTTGAATTGTTGCAAATGCATGCGGAGAGGTTTGATGAAGTTGATGTTCAAAGAGACATAGTTCCAGTGACAAAATGTTTTCTTGCCTTTAGAAGACAGACAGGTTTGCAGACGTGTTGCATTCTGTTGGTGATCCGCGCCTGATGAAGTGACATCCAAGACCGTTGCACAGGATTCCTCCGTGTTGCAAGCGATGGGCTTTGATTCTGTGAAAGCTCAGGAGGCCTTGCAGGCGCTGCGTGACTTCGTGACTGCGTGAGCTGTGCAAGTCACCCAATCCGTGGAATCGTGAGCAAAAAAAGATACTAGTAGCTTCTTGTTACTAGTAATATGGCCAAGAGCCCCTAGTAGCTTCTTGTTACTAGTAGTATGGCCAGGAGCCCCTAGTAGCTTCTTGTTACTAGTAGTATGGCCAAGAGCCCCTAGTAGCTTCTTGTTACTAGTAATATGGCCAAGAGCCCCTAGTAGCTTCTTGTTACTAGTA